CCAAAAATATTGGGAATAGTGTTTATATACACGCACATAGAGATACACTTTCAGGGGGAGTGAGTACATTTGTTAGAATTTCTCTGTTTAAATGAATATTAGCCATTTACATTAATATATTGATGTCAAACTATGATTACTTGATGCAAAAAGATGTGATAAACTTTGATTCAAAGCATTATTATGCCTGATAGACTGGCTGCTAGTGTGTCTGCTAGCTTCCACTGTCTGCTGGGAGTGTCTGCTAGCTTCAGCCGAGTAGCACTGACTTACCGATGTGGTGATCGTGTCCACCCGACTGAATAGAGCATGTGTCTTCATCGTCGTAAAATGCTGCACTTGGTTTATCTCTCAGGATCGGATCTCCCTCTCGGTATTTGTCCATTCTTGATCACAGCAACCACTGATCTGCAAACGTCGCTATACAGGGTTTATTGATAGCCTTCAGAGAACCTCAGCGTGATATCCGTACTCAATTTGCGGAAGTCTTACTTCGAATGTCGTGCGAGGGCGCTCTTGGTATTAACCCTATTTGACCTCGATCTTAGACGTCGATCCACCTTTATCATGGAATCAATCCGCCAGAGTTGTAACATCTGTCGAAACAGCGCAGGTTTGTTTGTGTCGTTTGTTGTATTAATGTATTTTCATACAGAAAAATAAGAAATAAGTGGTTATGACTAGATAAATGAATAATTCTAGTAATATTAACGGTACGATATTCTGACCTATATTTAACATGTGTAAGGATACACTGTTTCGCATTTGTGTCACAGTGAAGCGTGGGCAGTAGTGTTTAGAGGTAAGACTGGAGCTATACCGGTACATCAATTAAAATAAATATACTACATGTATATGCGTTCTTGCAGTACGTGTATGTTGTTTGACGCAAATGATAGAACAAAGTGTGCGTGGTTTACAATTCAACTATATTTAAATAAGCTGCTTTGATATGATGTATGGTTATGGCATATATAGACCATGAGTGTGAAGGACTTGTGGTTTTTGTGGCGTAACCATTATGTGACTGTGATTTCACTATTTTGTACCATGGTTGTGACAAATTGGGGTTGTTTCAGTCAATCATATTGCAAATACTATTATGAGCTGCATTTTTCATCAATTTTTTGTTTTCATATTTTTCAATTCACCTCATACTGACCCCAAAAAAACAATAGACTACCAAAAGTGTAAACACATAGTGATATGACATGTGACATATGGATTACATATATGATAATACTGGTAGTATGCAAATAATAGACGAGAATTTATTTTTGGAAAAATTTATTTTCCAACTGTCCACGTACTGTTCAACATTCTGAAATTGTTAAAGCTGTATATTTTCATTTTGCTCAATATTTCAAGAATAAGAAATTGGGTAAATGTACAAATTATTATTGAAATTCATTATTTGTTTTGATTGTATTAATCTTATGGTAAATGTGACATAAAAGTGATATCAAATTTGAAATGCAATATTTTAATTATTTTCACCAGAAATATGGATAAATACAGTATTGCTCCAGATGTTATTGATAAGATTCCTGGTAATGTGGTCACCGTAGAATGGAGTGACAGTGATGTTAAAGTGGATGCCGGAAATATACTCAGACCAACGGAGGTAATCTATAATTTACCATAATTCTTCCATATCAAGAGAAATACTGCGTGACAAGGCACTACATTTATTAATAACGCTCACCCTGATTTTAATTTTGGATCAGTTTTTGAAGAAATTGAAAACACTAAAAACTACATTCATTATAAAAACAATTTAAAGATGATTTCATGAAAGTTGGCACAAATTTGACAATGATAGTGAAAATGTAATGAAATATTGTCGTTTTTCTCCAAAAAGTAGTCTTGATTTGTAATTATATATTTATACAAATTAATAAAGCTTAACTGTATTTATAAATTGCTGTCAAGATCTCGTTGAGAGTGAGAGAGCAATATATCTTTTTTTGCTCCCAAATAGTGTTCTATTGTCTAATGCTATTGCGTTTACTGTTCTCCGGCCCAGTGCATGTATTATGGCAAGATGATGACACGTTTGGATGGCAAACACAAGTCGTGTTGCGCTTGGTTTCAACGTTTATTAAAGAACAATGGTCGTCACAGAGTGCATCTTACAAAGTTTCTTTCGTCTACCAATCATAAAATATCAGCATTTTTTTGTCAGGTACAAAATCCACCATCAACTGTTTGCTGGTCAGCTGAAGAAGGATCTTTTTACACTCTCCTGATGACTGATCCGGATGCTCCAAGTCGTGAAAATCCGAAATTCCGGGAATGGCATCACTGGTTGGTTGTCAATATCCCGGGATGTGATGTTGATAAAGGGGAAACAGTAATGGGATATGTCGGATCTGGTCCTCCACCTGAAACAGGTCAGTATGTTTATAAGTACATACAAGGCTCTTCCGTATAATCACAATTTAATGTCAGGTTTCTGGTCTGTAACTAGGTGATTTCTTCTGTTTAATTGATTTTATGAGTGTATCATGTCTGGTGACTCTGTAACTTGTCAGGTGACTTCATTTGAAAATGGGACTTCCCCCTCGTCAGGTGCATTCAGGCATCTCACTGACTTGAGCTGGTCAGAGATTCACTCAGGATATGACTGAGGCTGATAGTCTTTCAATCTGCTTGTGTTATTTACTGCAACAATGTCAGTTCCGTGAACTGTTGAGGTTGATATCCATGACACCAAGGTTCACTTAAAATATGTAAATTAACCATTCAATTGCATCTTTGAAGTTGTCTTGTTTCATGTTAGAAATTATGTCCTATATATTATGTTTTCATAATATTTGGTTATTATTAAAATATGACATTTTTATTCCCCCACAACAGAATGTTGTTCACTTTTGACTAATACTGCAAAGAATTTATCAGTATGATATAGTATTTTTACATAATTTTTAACAATTATGAATATACTTACTGGTAAATTGAAATTCTTCATAAATGTACCTTCTGTATTATATTATGTATTTGCATAAACCATTATTATTAAATAATTAAAAAAATACAAAATATTAACAAATAATGTTATGTTTTCTAGAATTCATTTGTTAATTTTAGATCAAATGTTTCCAATGGGCTGCACATTTTGATCAACATATTCGAAAATGACAAAAAAAAATAATGTATATATTTTTGACAAAATGTATCAGAAGTATACTGCTGGTTTTATGAGAGATTCTGCAAGAAAATAGCAACATTTTGTAGCAGTGAAAATTTTTTTTTTGGGGTCATACAACATGGAGTGTCAATGAATTTTATGGTTGTCTAAAAAACCCGGAACCGGAACCAGAACATGATATTAAAAATATTTGGGCGTACGGGTTGTTTAATATAAGTGATATTGCATTAATGGACTTAGTTTGTATATTATTAATATTATTTATTTTATTATAATCGCAATTTGTAGTTGTGTGTACACTCATTCTAATAATGTGGATGAAATAATAGGCAGAAAGCGCATGTTTACGATGTTTCCGCTTGAGGGCGCACTTTACGTCTTGGGTCGATGTGTTACACTTAAGTTCTGTGACGTCCGTGTTGTTTCAAAATATTTTTAATTTCACGTTCCAGTTTCGGTTCCGGGTTTTTTGGACAACCGAATTTTATCAAATTTTGTCTTCACAATTAAATGCCATTCTTTCTAATATTTTCAGCTCCATGTTCGTTTACACTGACTTGACCTAATAGATGTTAAATCCTCAAATCGTGAAAACTTCTAGCAGAAAAAAATAAATGGTTTACATTATGTACCCGTTTGTTTTCTGGTATCGGTGGTTCAAGGGCCTTTCATAAAAATGTGCATTATAACATTCATACTATGGAAAGAGAAATTTATTTAAAACTGACTAAATGTTGCACGGACATTCACAAGTTGTAAAATTCACTGGTTTCTGAATATTACATTACTTTGCACATTTACTGGGTTTTTATTACTTTAAAATACTTTATTTTCGCTGAAAGGATGATTCAGTGAAAATAAAATCACGCGAAAATACTTTTTTTCTTATATTTTACATTCAACTCGTCAAAAATCAGATAAAATTAATTACACCTAAAATAAAGTATTTTACATTATTTAAGTACCAGCAAAATAATAAAACATAAAACCCAGCTATAAATACCACACCCTATACAATAGTTCAATATGTTTAACGTTTTGCCCAAGAAAATGTTCCTTGTCAATTTATTTTTCAAAATCAGTGCATGTATGCATTTTTTTTGTATTAATCTTAAATTATCAAAATATTGTGCTTTAAATTGGATTTTTTGTGAAAAATTATTTTTTTCTGACTAAAAAAATTTAGAGAATATTAAAATAACGAATACCCAAAAATATAAATATAAATTAAAAATATAAAGCTGCAAAGCAAAAATAATATATTAAGGAAGTTTCATATATTCCTTGAATACCTACATCATTTTTACAATTTCAATACCGAATTTCAAACAGAAATATATGTACCTATTACATAACTCCTTTACACACCAATGCCTGTAATCAAACATAACAGCTGTTTTACAGCACTAATTAACACCATTCTGTCAGGCCATAAATCAATATTAGTGTGAACAATATGACAAGAAAAGGCACTAAAGTCTACAGGTGTTTTTTTCTTTTATATTTATTTTATCCAACTTAATAAATCATTCATCAGTGTTTGTGTCTGCATTTTTTTGTGTTTACTTTGAGATTAACCCAATCAGCAATGTTTATCAAATATTAAATACAAAATAAAATATCCATTTTTCAGGTTTGCATCGTTACATATACTTGGTATACAAACAGAAAGGAAAGATACAATATACAGATCCTGTGAAATCTGCTACATGCGGTGATGGCAGAGGTGGGCAGAAAGCCAGAGACGTAGCTGCCAAGTATAACTTAGGGGAGCCAGTTGCTGTTAATTTATACCAAGCTGAGTGGGATGATTATGTGCCAAAGCTTTATAAGAAGCTGGGACTCTAATTATTAAACATTAAAAATAGAAGTCCTGAGTGTTTACGTTTTCTTGTAACAAATCCTACAAAAATAAAATAATAAACTTGTTGACAAACATATTTTTTGCATTTTTGTTTATAATCTGTGCCACCCATGTTACCTGTTTTGAGGCTTGCAGAAATCCTGAGATATAGTTGCCAAGTATAACTTAGGGGGACCAGTTGCTGCTAATTTATAGCAAGTTGAGTGGGATGATTATGTACCTAATAAATTAAAGTTGTTTACAATCACCATATAAATACAAGTTGTTCACAATATATGAATGTTTACAGTCTCCATGTGAATATTAATGGTTACAATCTGCATATGAATATATGTGGCCAATTGTGATAATCGTATGAATACATGTTTATTATCTATATATGAATAAAAGTGTGACTGTTTACAATCTCCATGTGTATGAATGTTTACAATATGAATGTTTGCAATCTTAATTATTATGAATGTTTACAATCTTTATATGTATGAATGTTTACAATATGAATGTTTGCAATCTTAATTATTATGAATATTTACAGTCTTCATATGTATGAATATTTACAATTACCATATGTATGTACATTTACAATTGACACATGTATGAATGTTTACAATCTCCATATGTATGAAAGTTTACAATCTCAATATGTATGAATGTTTAGAATCTTCATATGTGTGTGTGTTTACAATCTCCATATTTATGAATGTTTTCAATCTTCATATGTATGTTTACAATTTCTGAATGTATGAATATTTGCCCATATCCCCATATGTATCAATGTCTGGGATCTCTGTATTCATACACAATTTCTGAGAATATTTGCATTCTGTATGTATGTTTACAATCTTCATATGTGTGTATGTTTGCAATCTCCATATGTATGTTTACAATTTCTGTATGTATGAATGTTTACAATCTCCACAAGTATGGAAGTTTACAATCTTCATATGTGTGTATGTTTACACTCACCATATGTATGCTTAAAATCTTACTTGTAGGAATGTTTACAATCTCCATATGAATGTTTAGTCTCCATACGCATGTTTACAATCTCCATATGTATGAATGTTAAGAATCTTCATGTGTATGTGTGTTTACAATCGCCATATGCATGTTTGCAATTTCCGTATGTATGAATGTTTACAATCTCAATATGAAAACAAAATCTAGTTGAATAAATTATAATCTGAAGTGTGTTTTTTTCCTAAAGTTGTGTCATATATATGCTGATTGCCAGGACATGAAATTGTGTATAACAGGGCGCCATCAGTTGTGAGAGTGGTGGATTATTTTGTTTTTGCGGCTGTAATTTTTTTGATGTGAAAGGACTTCTGGAGGGATAGTCAATTTCACATCGAAGTGTTGTACCAAGTAAGATAATAACATTTGCATGATGCATTGTGTGGAAAAAACACTGTTTGGTTCACAGCAGTTGATAATCAAATATTAACTAAGATTATTAAAATAATAAACTGCACACCATATATACCTTTAACAACCTAAAAGGCCGGTTATCGTCGTGCCGCGCATGCGCAAGACATATGGGTCTTGTATAAACAAAGATGGCGTTATGATATTGGCTGTTGCGCAGATCATGGAGGTAATATTTATTAATTTATTACCTCCATGCGCAGATCTACGAGTACAAACTGAGACGTTACCAAGCTTCAAATTTGATTAGGTATTTTTAGGTGCTTTAGAAAGTATCGAAGGAGTCGCCGACGGCAATTCGCACCCATGTCAAACTTCATACTTGTGGTTTCTATTAGACGAGCGCATTGGATTGTGGGAAAATCAAAGTTTATCAATACAAATGTCGCACATGCGCAGCGCGACTACTACTGCCCTTTAAATGTATATGTGGATTGGTGAGGCGTTTGTATTTCCAAACATCTTCAATGTATTTTCATTCCACAGCGTTTGGTTAGATAGTAGCTGGTTTGGTTGGTTGTTGAACCATTTACCGTTATATTATTATACCAACTGTTATCACTATTCACAAAATAAGCTTGCGTAATTTTGGTCTTGATTCTCAAAAGTGTTGAACAAGCTTAAGAAGAAAAATATGAATGTTTACAAACCTTCAATATTGTCTACAATTAGCCGCAAATTCCCGCAAATTTTCAAAATGTGATCCCAAAATTTTGGAGCAATTAAACGAATTGTTTACGGAATACAGAATGGTACTGCCATGATATTGAATTACAGAAAAGCGCATGCGTTCTGAATAACTAGTACGTACAAATAATTCAGTACGCACGAGTGTTAGCGTTATTCAGTACGACGTACCATTCTGTGCTAAAACAGGACAAACAAAAATAAGCATGTTTCACTTTGCCATGCTGTGTGATGTAGCAAAGGCTTTCCGGTAAATTAATGGCGGCGCGACGTGGAATGATGCCGAATATGACGTCATATTGAATATGCGACAGGCAGGGATGCTTAAAATGCACATGTATATTGCGTAAAACATGTAGAATTGATTATAAAATTACAACTGAACCTGCCCAGTACTTACTTCCCAGAGTGTCAGAAACAGATACACGGTTTGTTGGTTATAACCTGGAATTGACTGGAAATTCATAAATCTCGCATGTTTTGACCATATCTTGCATACTTATAACTGCCAACATAAACTTTCTTTTTTTTATTATGGATAAAAACCTGTCAAGTTGGGAATTTGTAGACACGGACTTTGTTATAATCTATTTATATTTATCATATAGGGTGGGAAAGGTCACGATTAGTTGTCCTAGTTCCCATGACACCGTGTTATTGCCACTCAGAGTAAGCCGAGACCCAGCTAATGTTTCTAGAAGACCGGTATTTAAATCATGTTGGGTAAAGGTCTGTCGTTTTCTTGTAAAATTTCAACGAATGTTGTGCGCATTATTTCTTTCACCATTTGCATTTAATTAGTTGAATAAAAACGTTATTAGCGAATTACAATTGAGTTGTTGGGATTTTTTTATGATTATACTAGTTTTAACTGTCGGAATATTCAGTAAATACTAGCGTGAATCATTCGTCTAGTTGCCAGGCGACGAATATATTTAGTTAGGGCTTAAAAAAGAAAAAAATATTCTACTATAAACCCCGACGGAGAAATTCTATCAGTGACATTCTAAGCTCCACGTTCCAGTTGAAATTAGAGCCTTCAAATCATTGAGGTTACAGGCTTATTAAAAAACAATTTGCAATAAGTCCAGTGATGTCAACCATGAATGAATGAAAGAAGAATTCCGAAAATATATTACATCATAGGAATGTCGCGTACAACTTTTCTAATCATATCTATGTCTACAAAATAGTTTAAACATAATTTCTGAAAACAAAATTCAAAAGCATTTAATGATTATTAACCAAATTTTTCTTAATTTTGCAATGTTGTAATTCCCCAAACCACACTGAAATGCGTCAAAGATCCACGAAAATCATGGGTGACTCTAAATGCCCCAGCAACGAAAGGTTTCTAAAATTAGAAAGTATATCAATGCGCGTGGCCAGACGAATTAGGTACCTACGTCCACATAGCCTGGATATTCAGTGCGGTACACCTTTCTGTACCAAAACAGGACATAACGCAGTGTGAACATAACACATATTCGTATTATGACCTACATGTACGTCTACGCCCTAATTCGTAGCATAGGCATTGACATAACCCCGTTGATTTTGATAAGAATGACATGCTTGCAGTTCAAATAGTTTTGTAAAACATGATACGAGAAAATTCAATGGCGGACTGATACTTTTTGAGGAAGTACTCAGCTTGGTCGTCGTTTCAAGTTATGCTATTACCAGTGTGTGTAATTTGGGTATTTAAGGACTTTCACTTCTGTGACGTTATTGTTTAATATATGGTTTTGGGAACTAGACAAACCTCTTTTTTAATTGTTTGTGGCAATTGTAGACACTCTGCTCATTAGATCATTAGATGTGTAAAACGACCCTGCTTTTAAAGTGTTGACATTGGCGGAGTGGGAGTGTAGTGTGAATACTATGGTTGAATAAAACCAACTAATTTTGCCAATTTCTACAATATAAGTCAGCTGGGTTAGTCCACCATTCCAAGCATTTATTTATTCACTGAAATTGAATTCAAAAACTGAAAAATTTAATACATATAGACGCAGGTTTGGTTGCTGCAGTTGTGTGACAAATTGAACTGTCTCTAATAACATATTCTATCTGTTGTACGACTAACCCACTGCCACGCAATTTTCACCAGGCTCCCTGTGTACAATTCTAAATAACATATCGTTAGATGCGGGCGTGATGTCGCCGACGGACGCAGCTTAAAGTGCGATGGTCGTCGCGCCATGTTCTGTTCGACATGGGACTCATAACGACGTACGTAGCGCGTGTAAAATGTAATTCAAACACGCGCTACGCGGCGACCACCACCCTTTAACCCACCAAAATAATATTTACTCCCCCGGTTCGATCGGATGTTGCTATTTTGCGAGTTCACTTCACTCCACTCCACTCCAGGATAGAAATGATACGAAACACTGTCATTAGATTTAAAACAACTTCCGATCGCTGTATCCTGGCCCATTGTCCTAGAATTGTCGATCCCCAAATGATTTCGCAT